TTTTTTTTTTTTTACGGGAAACGTTTCAAGTTCTGCTGGGGAAGGGTGAGAACTTCTCGGGCAAGGGCTTGCTCTCCCCCACAGCCTTGGACTGAAGCGGCAGGTGCTGGGGAAGGCAGCCACCGCGGTGTCTGCAGCTTGATTCGAGGTCCAGCTGGCTGGCACCTGGGCACCTGGGGCCAGAGGGGTTGGGAGGGCATGGGAGGTGGGCAGGACACCCAGTCCCCACTGTGTCCTGCTATACATCTGGCCTTTTTCCTCTGGCCTCAGCATCTTCATCTGCAAACAGGGCAGAGGTCTCCTCCTTCTAAGCTTTGCTCCAGTGCCTCAGGCATTGGGCAGGTGGAGGTGGGAATTCTGGCTTCCGGCTTCTGTGTGCATAGCCCCAAGCAGGCCACTCACTCTCTCACGTGAGCTTCAACTTCCTTCATGGGTAAAACAGGACTAGAAATCCCTTCCTTTCCACAGTAAGGCTGTTTGAGGAGTAAATAGACCACTAGTTACTGACAGCTCAGCACAAAGTGTAAGTACCAAAATTCTAGTGGGTTTAAATGGGGGAGAAGCAAAGGAACATCTGATAAATCCACGGCATCGCTGGCACCAGGTCGAATCTGTCCGTGGACATGCCAGAGCTGACCAGGTGATCTGTAAGTCGGTCTTCAGGCACAGCCAGTTCTGGCCTTGACCCCTGCAACAGAGACAAGGAGAATTTAAGCTGGGCAAGGAGGGAGCCTTAATCCTGGAGCCTCTGTGTCAGAGCTGATTCTAATGCCGATTCTAATCACTTGTAGCTGTAATAACCAAAGAGGAAGCTCTTAAAATGGGGAATTATGTATCACGGCTACAAAATAGCCCTGGGCCTGGGGCCAAGGAAAACAGCTTTTGGCAGCCAGCGGGCTGCTGGAATGCCTAGGAGGGGGCTTGTTCCTAAGTGCTCACTGCACTGTGGGGAGGGTGTTGTGGGGTGACAGGTGGGAATTACTGGGCCTCCAGGAGTCTGCAGAGATGGATGGAAGTATTCCAGGGAAGGTGTTGTCTGAGATTGGGCTGGGCCGGGGGAGGGATTGGCGGCAGAGCTGAAAGTTCGGCACACGCGTTACAGTTACTGTCACTACCGGGTGTATGACCTCAGGAGTGTCGCTTGGCCTCCCCGGGTCTCGCCGATCTCCCCTTGAGTAGAACCAAGGCCTTGCATACCCCAAGGTCAAGGTGGACCCAATAATAATTGTGGCGGTAACAACAGTAACGCAGCCGCTCCTGTGTAAGGAGTACTTGCTACTTGCCACTACGGTTCTAAGTACTTTCCATGCATTCCTCTCCTCCCCTGTGGAGTCTCCACAATATCCCTGTGAGCTGGGCGTGATTATCCCCACATTACAGGTGAGGCCACGAAAGACTGGAGAGGTTGAGCAACTTGTCCGAGGACACCCAGCCAGGAAACGGCTGTCAGCTTCCAGGCCGGGGCTCATACTCCAGTTCCTCCAGGGGTCAGGTCGCCACCAGAGGGCTTGAAGCAGCCGTGTAGGGAGCCTGAAGCTGAGGAGTGGGATGAACGAAAGAGTGTCGCAAGGAGAAGGGAGAATGGGGAGATGGCGCCTAGGCTGTTGTGAGGAGTTTGTGTTTTCTGCTAGGAGTAATGAAGTATGTTCTGGTCTGCTGTGCTCTATACGTTGCCCTCAGCAGCTGCGCTGAGAACGGTTTGGGGAGCTGGGACAGTGTAGCAGCAGGGAGACCTGGGAGGAGGCTGCTGCAGATGCCCAGGCAAGAGCGGTCAGGGCCCCTGAGCACCGCGGTTGCCATGGCAACGGAGAGATGTGGGTGGATGCCAGGAATGTACAGGAGGCGGAAGCCAAGGGTCTTGCTGCAATGGGCTTTTACAGGCACGGGGCTGGTCAGGCACCACAGAAGGGCTTGGAATGAGCCCCCTGAGCGGGAGGTGGGATGCCTGCACCTGGGCCTGGCCTCATCAGGGCATGAGTAGGTCTTGGACGAGGTCACAGACTGTGGCCTGGCGGCAGGGAGCCAGAGGCAGGGCAACCGGCTGGTGTGTTCCTAAAGGGCAGGTGGGCTTGTATTCGTGGCAGCCGTGGGTGAGACAGGTGACGTAACAGAAGAACACGTCCCTGGATGTGCTTTTGGGATGAGGAGACGGGAAACCCCCATGGTGCCAGACACGTGACAGGCCCCAGCTGTGCCCCATTCAAGCTCCGCCCATATCCTGGCTCAGCCACGGGTGCTGGGTGCTGGGAAGACGGGGTCCTGAGGGGAGAAGGGGCTGGAGGTCTCACCTCATGGGAGACAGGAGCCTGGAGCAGAGGGTCTCAGGGAACTTGTTGCTGCCCCCCACCCCCATGTTTCTGCAGGGTCCTCTGAGTGCCAGCCTGGCAAGTGGGTTTGGGGACCTGGGGGGCAGAGCCAGGACTCTCAGGGTAGCCACAGGGAAGCTGCCCCGGCTCCTAGTGTCCTACTGGGGCAGAACTTTCGCCGTTCCCAGCTGCCTGTGCGAACAGAAGCTGGCCACCTCCCCCCTCCGCCTGGCTGACCTTGTGAAGTGCCTCGTAGCCCCGAGATCCAAGGAGAGCCTGAAAGGGCGGAACCGACCCTCTTGGTGAGGAGGTTCAGGGGTCATTCCCTGAAAAACATCTTCACTAGGAGGGACTTGAGTCCCACATCCTCCAATTATGCTCCCATCCAGCCAGCCCACAATGGGCTGCTCAGATAACCATCGGGGGCTGCACAAATTAATGCTAGAACAATGCTGGCCGCTGGGGCTATTTTTACAGTAGCCATACGCCTGGCCGAACCCCCACGTCGCCCCGAGGGAGCAGGGCAAAGAAAGGCTGTGCGGATGCCGCCACCAGTCTGCGCTCCAGGAGACAGAGGAAGGGCTCAGCGAGCGCCCGGCGGCTCCAGGAAGCCTTTTCTTGGTCTGCTCATGGCCAGATAGCAAAACAATCGGGGTCCCCCACCCCTAGCCAGGGAGAGGAAGGAGGCGTGGGGGAAATGGGGGTTCTGTTGTGCTTTTGTGCCTCTCCTCCTCAGAGCATGGCCCCTGTGGGTCTGTCTGCTGGGGCCAGGCCAGGGCATCCTCTGTGCACACCCCAGGTCCTCAGGCAGCCCCCAACTCACCCTGCCCAGACCGCCACCCATGCCAGGCGGAGACACTCGCTGGCATCAGAGCTGGGACGTGGCAACAGCTGCTTGAAGACCCCACTCTGGGGACCATTTACACATCCGTTCTTACCTGGCGACCTCCTGCACTCCAGGTTTTGGGCACAGCAGTAGATAAGGCAGGTCTTTGTCGCCATGGAGCCTGTGTTCTTGTCAAGGTGGAGACGGTTAACAAGGAAGCAAGGGCTTGAGCAAGACATTGTCAGGTACGTAGTGCTAAGCACTTTGCTAAGGCAGACTCAGATCCCCACTAGAGATGTCCTGTGAGCCAGGTGGCAAGCGGGCCAGGGTGTGCTCGGGTGAGCGGGCCACATCTGGTCCAGCCAATCGTTCCCTTGAGGAATGTGAACCCAAGAGGCCTGATGACCTTCCCATGTTTTAAGAAAACCTAGAAATCTTGACTTCTCTCGGTTATTTCCATGTTGGCCATCCATTTGGATCCCAGGCTGTTTGGCTATGAGTTGGTCACACTTTTTATTCTGCTCGGGGAGGGGTGGGTAGGCCCCCTAAGTCTGGCTCCCCCAGCTCAGCTGCCTTCCGTGGCCATCCGCCGGGTGGGGGTAAACCCTCAAAGGCACCCTCTCACCCTGGGCTGGGACTCGCGGTGCTCTTCCCTCAAAGCCAAGCTGGCAGCAGGGGGTAGGGCTCAGGGACCTGGGAAGTAGAGAAAGATGTTCTTTCCTGGCTGGTGGCAGACTTCCTCTAGAGTGGGCTCGAAGCCGGGGTGGGCTGAGTGTGATCCTGAACAGCTTCTGGGGACTTGGAGATTGGACCTCATCTGGGGTCTCCCATTGCTGAACCCAACAGGGAGTCAGAGGGCAAGAGAGCCTGGATGGCGCAGGGGTTAGAGCAAGCCAGAGTGGCTAGAGAGGGATGGGCAAATGGACATTAGCCCCTGTTCTTCCGTTAGCCCCACAGTGTGCCGCAGAGATGTGACTGGTTAATGAACTGCAAACCTGTTTCATAAACATCTGTTTTCCATACTTTGATGGAAACCTCGTTTTTCAAATACCGTGTCCATTCCGGCTTGAAACTCCATTCCGTATTCATTTATGTTTAGCCATTCTTTCTTTTTCGAATCTGCTTTTTCAAAGCTGGGAATGAGAACCTCCTGTGGCCAGGCACTGTGCTGGGTCTTGAATGAAATGGGAGCCATCATTCTCTAGGCAAATCTGAAATTTGAGACAGTGTCTGTTCATTTCTAGCAAATGCAGGCAGGCTGTTATCAGGAAGTCACCTTGGATTTGCCCGGCGTGTGTCTCATTTTGTGGAGATGATGCCAGCGTTGGGGTGGCTTCTCTGCCTCCGGGTGCAGAACGAGGCATGACATTGGGGGACGACAAACATGGGATTCCCGTGCTTCTGTTCAGCAGCTGCCTGGGGAACCTGTCAGTTCCTGAGTCTTGAGGTCCCTGATCACCTAGGGGGTCCAAATCACTCAGGACAGAGCAGTGGATAGACAGGGGATGTCAGGCCCCCTGCCACTGGCCTGGGTGGATCAGAGCCAGCTCATGGGTGAGAAAGGAGAGCGTGTGCCGAAGACAAACAGGCCATCCCTTACCGAGCACACGTTGTCTTCTGTTTTGTCCCCTACAGAAATCAAGGAGGATATGGCCACCAAGGAGAAACTGCAGTGTTTGAAAGACTTTCACAAAGACATCTTGAAACCATCCCCGGGGAAGAGCCCAGGCACGCGGCCTGAAGATGAGGCAGAGGGGAAGCCCCCTCAGAGGGAGAAGTGGTCCAGCAAGATCGACTTTGTGCTCTCTGTGGCTGGTGGCTTCGTTGGCTTGGGCAACGTCTGGCGTTTCCCGTACCTCTGCTACAAAAATGGTGGAGGTAAGCCTGGACTGGGCACAGAGTGGCATTGGAGGAGAGGGTGGGGCCGGACCACGGGGTTCTCTCCATGCCCCAGTTTCCCAGGCCCCCAGCCTGGACCTCCCCTGGGTCAGCCTGCTACCTCCCACCCCATCTCAGAGGCAAGAAATGAGCACAACTGGGAGTCAGGTGATATTCTGTCAGGGTCTTGCTGGGCAACCTCAAGTAAGTCCTTTACCATCTCTCTCTCTCGGGAGGTGATGAGGCCAGACCCATATGACCCAGGCCTCAGGCATTCACATGGCCCCTTCATAAAGCCCCCCATATCTACGTGCCTTTGCTTTGCCTTTTCTTTTCCTTTTTTTTCTCTTAAAGTTTATTTATTTATTGAGAGAGAGAGAGAGAGAGAGAGAGAGAGAGAGAGAGAGAATCCCAAGCGGGCTCTGTGCCGTCAGCATGGAGCCCAATGTGGGATTCGAACCCACAAACCGTGAGATCATCACCTGAGCGAAAGTCAGACGCTTAACCCACTGAGCCACCCACGCACCCCTGCTTTGGCTTTTTCTAACTTAATCCAAATGTACTTCAAAAGCAGACTTTGTTCCCACCCCCATAAATGGAAAACCAGTATTATTTGCCGCGGTGGAAAGGTATCCAAGAAAAGAAATTTGGTGAATTTATTCTAAAATATATTCTTTTTTAATTAAAAATTTTGCTCCCATTTCCTTGAGATAACAATTGACACGTGACATTTATTAGCTTAAGGTGTATGACATAATGCACTGATACATGTGTATATTGCTAAATGATCTCCACAGTAACTCCAGTGACCATCCATCCCAATGAAGTTGTGACATTTTTTCTGCTGAGGATTCCTGTGATTTCTTCTCTCAGCAACTTTGAAATACGCAGTACGGGACTGTTAACTACCATTGTTGTGCTGTACGTTGTGTCCCCAGAGCTTAGACCTTGAATCTGTATCTTTCAACCACCTTTGAAGATAATTTTTTTTAATGTAAATGGGTGTTCGGCCAGTTGGCTGGTTTGGGTTTTTTGGTTCAGGGTTTTGGTGTGTTTTTGGTTTTTTGGGTTTTTTTCAACCTGCTGCTGCTCAGAGGATTCTGAGCTAGAATCCTCTCTTGTCGGAGGTATCACAGTCGGGCAGCACGTGATGGAGACCTTCTCCCTGGTGCAAGGAGAGGGCTTACGGAACACTGGGCAGGGAGGAATTGCTCAGCGCCCAGGACGGCCTGCAATCAGAGGCTTGCTTTGCAGCAGGTGGCTTGCCACCCAAGTTAGGAGAACCACCTTTTGGGAAATTCTGCCTTAGATCCTGGTTTCTTAACCTTTTGTAGGTCTCAGGCGCCTTTGGGACTCTGATGAGTGCCCTAGACGCTCCCCAGAACAAAGCACATACACATAGACCCAAGTTGCCCACAGTTTCAAAGGGTTTATGGACCCGCCGAAGCCATTAGTGGATGCCAGGTAGGAACCCTCGCCCTGGCTCTTACCCCCAGCTGGAGACTCCCACCTCTTGCTTCTCATCACTGCACCCTTCCTAGCCGGTTCTTCTCAGCTTCCTGCCCTGGGCGGGCCTGGGGAAGGATGGGCGAAGGCTTCAGTGAGGAGGTCGTGCTCGAGATGGACGGATGTGGGGAAGGCAGGCAGGTCGTTGGCACAGCTTAAGCAAAGGCTTGGAGGCTTTGAAAAGCACCTGGTGGGTTTGAAGCAGGTGAGAAGGCACACTGGAAAGGTGATGCCCCCTGGACAGGTGGGCAAGGCCCGGAGAATTTTCAACCAGGTCCAAGAGTTTGGCCTTTATCCCTCATGCCCCTCCCTCATTCTCCTGGATTCCATTGGTCGGGAGGGCTTGGGAGTGGCCCCTGTGGCAGCCACAGTCTGACCGTCATCCCACTTTGCTCTCTCTGCAGGTGCGTTTCTCATACCATATTTTATTTTCCTGTTTGGCGGCGGCCTGCCTGTGTTTTTCCTGGAGGTAATCATAGGCCAGTACACCTCTGAAGGGGGCATCACCTGCTGGGAAAAGATCTGCCCCTTGTTCTCCGGTGAGTATGGGACAAAGGTCACCCGGGGCCTGGCGTTCATTGGGTCAGCAAATTTTTATTGAGCACCTACTATTTGCGAGGTACATTGGAGCCTCATGCAAGCCCACTTGGCACTGTGCCTGACGCACGGTGGCAGGCAGTTGGTGCATTATTCCTGTGATGCTGCGGCCCGCGGTGGCTGCCCAATACATATGAGCGGTTCCCACCTCTCTGCGCTGTTGAAGCATCCGTATGTAGCAGCTGCTCAGCCGTATAATGCAGAAGATAAGCACTCAAATTCAGGAGCTGTATGATGTCATGTCCTATGTCCTCCTCTTGCTCGAACTCTTGTGACTCTGAGAAAGTCCCTTAATCGCCTCATGCCTCAGTTTCTTCATCTGTAAAATGGAAATAGTATGCTTACTTTCATAGGGTTACTATGAAGACAAAATGACATTGCTACGTAAAAGTGTCTTGTATACGTACTAAGCACCAAATTAATGGTAACTTTATTATTATTATTATAACATTTACTCCTATGCCTAATACCTATTATGCATTTATAAAATAATCACTGTTATGATTATAATTGGCAGGGGTGGGAGGATGTGTGAGTCCATTCATTCATCTGTATAAACCTATCCATCCATCCATCCAGTAAACTTTCTTCCATTAGTCAATTAGACCAGCCTTCCGTCTACCCATCTACCCATCCCCTTATTCATCCATCCATTCATCTACCTAACCTTCCAACCAGCCACCATCCATACATCCTTCCAACATATTGAACATCCATCTATCAACCCAAGATCTATCCATTCAGCTGTCTATCCAACCAAACATCTATCCATCTACTCATCTATGTATCCAGCCATATATTCATTGCTCTACCCATCCTCTATCCATCCTTCCATTCATCCTGCTTATCAGACCATCCATTCTTTCACCCATCCACCCATCCATCCGGCCATCCATTCATCCTATAAATATTTGCTGGTCATTAGGTTTTTTAAAAAATTTTTTAATGGTTATTTATTTTTGAGACAGAGAGAGAGAGAGAGAGTGTGTGTGTGTGTGTGTGTGTGTGTGTGTGTGTGAGTGAGTGGGGGGAGGGGCAGCGAGAGAGGGAGACACAGATTTGGAAGCAGGCTCCAGGCTCCAAGCTGTCAGCACAGAGTCAGACACAGGGCTCAAACTCACGAACCGCAAGATCATGACCTGGGCCGGCGTCAGAAGCTTAACCAATTGATCCACCCAGGTGCCCCTATTTGCTGGTCATTATTGAAGGGCCTGTCTGGGCCCCAGCCCTGGGGATACTGAAGTTGAATAGGTGCCCATGGTGGGTCTGGCCCCCCTCCTGATTCTCATCTTGATTGCCCACACCCACAGGCATCGGCTATGCCTCCATCGTGATCGTGTCCCTCCTGAATATATACTACGTCATCATCCTGGCCTGGGCCACATACTATCTGTTCCAGTCCTTCCAGTCGGAGCTGCCCTGGGCACACTGTAACCACAGCTGGAACACGCCACAGTGCATGGAAGACACTATGCGCAAGAACAAGAGCCTGTGGGCCACCCTCAACACCAACAACTTCACCTCGCCCGTCACCGAGTTCTGGGAGTAAGGCCAGCCTCACCGAAGGCAGGAGGGAGGAGGGCACGGGTTGGGGGCTGGACGACAGCCTACTCCCTCATCTTCTCCCCAGGGATGTGGGAGTCACTGTCTTGGGATGGATGGTGGGGGAAGGAGGGTGCAGATTTGGACATCAATCCATGCCTTTGGTCTCAGACAGGCCTGGAACCGAATCCCAGTTCTGCCATTTTACTGGCTGTTTGACCTTCGGCAAGTCACTGCCCCTTTCTGAGCCTCAGTTTCTTTAACTGTCAAATGAGGGGAATGAATCATTTCTACACCCGTATGCAGGTATATGTACTTCTGTTGTCTGAAAATGATGTAGTTTTCTTAATGCATTTTCGGAAAAAATGTATAGTTAGCACATCAAACCTGTTATCGCGTAGAGAAAAATGCATGTATGAAGCTGAAGTAGTTACTCAAGCGGAAAGGTGAATAGATAGAGCAAGAAAATATGTATTGGCTAGCTTTTGCTGTATAACAATCACCCCCAAATTTGGTAGCTTTAAACAACCACCATTTATTTGGCTCATGGTTCTGCTCATTGGCAGTTTGGGCTGAGCTTGGCTGGGCAGTTCTTCTGGTCTTTGCTGGGCTCCTTCATGGGTAGGTCAGCTGCAGGATCTCAGGATAGCTCTTTTGGGGATTAGCTGGCTATTGGCTGGGGTGCCAGGGGCAATGGGTCCATATGGGTCCATCATGCAGCTGGCTAGCCTGAGCCTGGGCCTGTTTACAGGAGGCTCAGTGTTTCCAAAACAACGAATGGGAAAGCCCCAGCACAGGACCTCTTTTCAAGCCTCTGCTCCATTTTCATTAATGCCCCATTGGCCAAAGAAAGCCACAGGCTAACCCAGATTCAAGAGGTAGGAGCTAGGCCCTGTCTCTTCAGGAGAGGAGTGGAGAGCTGTGGGCGTTTTTATGGTTTACCACAATGTAGTCAGCACCTACAGGAATACAGACAGCGGACAGACAGCAGAAAGGCAGAATGTGGAAACCTGAAGTTTGGGCACCTCTTTGCTGATGTCCGAGGGAGTCCTGTGAACCCAGTGTTTGGAGGCCAATCAAAAATGGACTTGTGCGTCATTTTCCACTAAACTTGGGGTTTGGCACCTTGGTATGATCCTGATGGTCCTGAAAATGACTGAGATAAGTCTTCACCTGGAGGGTGAGAGCCAGGGGCAGGAGACATCAGTAAGGAAGGGGGTGGTCCCTCATCGTCATGAGATGTTACTCCTCTTTGTGTGCAGCTTTGGGGTTTCCAAGGGTCTTCCCCGCTCTTAGAAACTGGCCCAGGAACAGGCCCACAGAAGAGGGGGTTGCCTGCTGACCAGTCCCAGCCATGCATTAGGGCTAGGGCCCGGAAATCCTAGGCAAGATAGGGTCAGGTGGCCCACTCTCAGGTCGTCCATTCCCTGTCGTGACATGCGAGCCTTCGGTCTGTGCTCACAAGGCCCTAGGCCTGCTTGGACAAGGGCTCTCTGTGTGTACATATTTTCCACTTGTAGACAGAGAGGGCATTACAAGCATATTCGTCACCCACTCCACACCACCCCCACCAGACAGCTGAGTTTATAGACAAAGAAATGCAGGCACCATGAACTTCTCACTTGAGTGGGGCCCGAAACCACAGCCTTGTGTGCTCTCGGCTGTTCCTGGCACAGCCTGACCACACGCGGCCTGCCCCACCCAGGAAACTGGTGCCCAACCAGCCACTTGGATACCTGCTGGGACCTCATTGCCTCGGGCACGGATTAGCTGCCTGGGTTCGAACCCTCGATCTGCCGGTCCTAGCTTGGACAGGTGCTTTTTCCTCTCTGGGCCCCAGTGTTCTCCCCTGTGCTTGGGGAGATCATAGCACTGCCCTTCCAGGGATGGAGGGCTGCCCTTAACTGATTGAGACTGTGCACAGCTCTGAGTCTCACTCAGAGACACAGACTGTGAGACTGTGCAGCTTCTCAGAGTGAGACTGAGCTCTGAGAAGCTGCTTGAGAAATGTGGGCCATTTTAATTTATTGAGTGTCCTCTTAGTGGATAAAACTGCCCTCTAGGGGCATTTGGAACTCAAGTGATCTGCCCTTCAGAGAGACTAAGAGTGGCCCCTTCTAAAATTCCCGTATGCACCACCCCTCCCCCCAAATTGCAAAGGGACTGTCCTCCTTCCCCCTCTCTGCTAGCGTAGACGTGAGGGCTCTTGGGAAGGACTCATAAGAGCAATGAGGTCCTCAGGGTGTCTGGTTTTTCCCATGCCTTCTCACGTGCCCGTCCCCCACACCCGGCCCTCCTGTGGGTTCTAAGGCTCCTGCCTTCCAGAATCCCCATCCTGAGTGCCCAAGCTGCCCTTCCTGGCCTGGAAGCCACGGAGACAGGATTTATCTTCAGAAATGTCTGGAGCCCGCAGGCGGCTTCCGAAGGCCCACATGATGCAGATGGACTTGCTCCGCCCACAGAGCGCCGGCCACCTGCCGGGTGCTCACCTTCCACTCCAGCCTTTGGGTCCCAGCAGAGCTTTGTGAGCCCACCTGAATGTCTCCAAGTGGCTTACCCTCTTTTGGAACCCTGGGGAGGACTGGGGTCCACAGAACAGGAGCCTGGAATGCAGGCTTAGTCGAGAAGACCTGGCCGGCCACCTGCACGAGCAGAGGCTGGGGCCAGTGAGTGGGGCCGGGGGCTTCAGTGCAGTGTAGCCCTGGGCCAGGTGCTAAGGGTGAGAAGGGCCCGGCTCCCGGCCTTCTAGAGCCTCCCTTCTCCTGCACATGGAAGAGGGGGGAGGAAAGAGAACTAACGGCTCCAGTGAGCACTGTGCCGGGGACTTGCCCCTCTCACTGCATTTCATCTTTGGAGAGGTGCTTCGAGGAGGGAAGTCGTAGGATTCATCCCAAACCCCTGCCCACCTCAAAGCTCCCATCCAGTTCGCAGGTGCTCTTGGCTCTCCCTTTCAAGTATATCCAGAGTCTGACCCCTCTCCCCACTTGCACTCCTCCCCACCCTGCATGGGAGTCCCTTCATAACTCTCCCAGACCCCAGCGCTGGACTCTCCTCTCCCTGCCTAACCCTTGCGTCTCTGCAGTCAACTGTGAATGCAAATGTGGCATTTCTCAGCCCAGAACCCTCTCCTGGCTTTTGCGATACTATGATCTCACTCAGCCCGGGGGGATTAAGTGAGAATGTTTCAACACAGTGAGTGCCCACCGAGTGCCGATTCTTCTCACTGATTGCTTGTCTGCATCCACTTGGCTTTGTAGCCCAGAGCAGCAAGGTAGCCACCCCTCTCTGGCCTAGTTTCCTCAACTGCAAGTGGAAAGGCCATATGAGCTGGGCTTTGAGGCGTGAATAGGAGCTCCCTAGGCTGGAAAGGAGAGAGAAAAGACGTTCCGGGTGGAAGGAACAGCCCATGAAGAGGCATGCCATTCTGAACACACACAAGTGTTTGGGAGTAGTAAAGTCACCAGTCTGGCCGGAGTGTAGGACGCATGGGGCCAGGAGAAGGTTTGAGGCTCTGAATGTTAGCCCGGTATTTTGAGCTTTGTTCTCTAGGAGGGGGAGCCATAGAAGGTATACGAGAAGGGGAGCGACATGAGTGAATATGTTTTGGACACTGCTCAAGGAACACAGTAGTGGGAGAGAGACTAGGGCACATATGAAGCACCAACTATAGACAGGGCCTCACAGGGTTCAGGCATCAGTGGGTCTGGGTTCCCTTTGGGGTGACACATAGCTTCTGTGATTTCCCCTGAAAATAGCCACCAGCCCTACAGTGACCAGCTCTGCGGCTTCCGTTAGGAGAGGCTTGCTGGGGCCTCATGGAGGTATCCGTGACTGGTACCGGCTGACTCTCAAAAGGCTGGTCTCCATGTCCCTCGAGCTAAAGCCCGGCCCCAGCCATCGTATCCCTCCACGTCTCTCACCTGCAGCAGACGCGTAGGTCTTCGAGGTGACCTTGCCTTCAGCAAACGATGCCTGATGAGAGCTGCCTAGGAATCAAGATAAGAAGGCACTGTGAAAGCTGAGACTTCCTTATGGGCCCTGGACAGGGAAGGAACTTGCCGAACATCCCTGCCAGCTGCCCCTCCCCCTCCAGTTTTACTAGAGGAGGTCGTCGGGAGCAGGGAGGCTGACTCTGGCCACCACGCATCCCAGCTGCAGCACCCCAGGGCAGTGACCTCACCTCTCTAAACCTTGGAGATAGCATGGTTTCAACACCTTCACAGTCTGGCTCTATTTAAAGAGCTAAGACAAGGGATATGCTAAGGACAGGGCCTCCAGTCACGGCTCCTTGGGGATGACACTGAGGACCAGAGAGGTTAAGTGACGCAGGGAGCTAGACAGGCAGCAGAGCTCCCAGACCTCACCTCTGCCACCAGACGCCACCTGCAGTGTCTGTGTCCCCACCAGCCGCAAGCCCGTGGTCACAGGTAAAATTGTGCCGTATGTGTTTGCGTGACCCACTCTCAGGTTGCGTGGGGTCTTCTCTTGGCCTGGACCCCCCACGCCCACCCTGTCTGCAACGCCAAAGCACCACTGTCGGCAGGAGCTGGTGAGATGTGCCCTTGCAGACCCCTGTGACAGCCACCTGGGCCCCTGGGACATTCATTTCACACTGGCTGTGAATTATAATTGGACTCTGAGTTGCTCTGTGATGGAAAACAGAGCTTCTGCCCCCGCTTAACCTTGTCCTGCGTGTCTCTGCTCTGGGGTCCTCTTCTGTCTGTCCCAAGGGTCCTGCTTCACCCCAGCCCTGGAAGCCAGGCGGGGCCAGATCTGGCCTAATGCCCTCCATCAGGCCGGAGCCATGCCTTCCTCCCTGGTTCCTCCCGAGCCCCCCGGGAGCTCAGCACGTATCATTAGGCTTTATTAGAATCAAAGAAATGAGTCATATTTGCAAACAAGCCGTGCTCAGCCAATCTTCCCCTGCAGCTGTCGGAAGGAGGAGGCGGTGGAGAGAGCCTTGTGTGGCCCCATGCTCGGGGAGGACGGGCTCTTTTATAATT